GTCGGTTCCGGTAGGTCGCCCAGGCCCCTCTTCAGACCTCATCGAACACTGCCCATGGTTGACTTGGGGCCCCCATGCGGAGACAGGGTCCTGTGTTAGGCACTGTGGACCCCTGACAGATGCAGGGGGCCCAACCTGTGTAAAGCGCTGGTCCCAGGTCTGCGGCTGATTGGGAAGTCGGCGCTCAGGCCCACACCCACACTGAGCCGACGGTGTGGTGCTGGTGTTGCCTGATCGACGTATAGGTCCATATCGACTTAGATGGTCCCTGATCAGCAAAAAACCGCTCTGACTGCCATTTGATGATCCGTCCCATGTCCAGGGCCCTAAATAAGACTCTGGCCAGCCCTTCGTGCCCTTAAGCCCTCCAATTGGGCTCTTGACTGTCGGTCCAGGTGGGCCCTCGAAGTACTTCAGGCCTCTTCGATCGCTGCCTCTGGCCGACTCGGGGCCCCTTGACTACACAGGGCCCCTGTTAAAGGCCATGGGATCTTGACAGACGCTGGGGCTCCGACCAATGGAAATGAAAATGTAAATCAAATGGAAATCGCTGGCTCCTGCTTTGCCCCTGCTTAGGTAGTGAGCCCTCAGAGCCATGCCGACATAGAGCCGACTGTGCGTCGTCGGCGGTGTCTGACCGACATCTAGGCCTTTCTCGACTCAGGGGCCCCTGATCAGCGCGCAGGGCGCTCTGGCTATCATTGGAGTGTGCGGCCAGCAGGGCCGGGTCTCCAAATACGACCTAAGCCGGCCTTTCGGGCCCCTCGGGTCTTTCATCTCAGGTCCCAAGGGACCTGAATGGCCGCTCGGAACCTAAGGGGCGGGCTAGTGCCCCTTCGTCCTACCCCCTGCCCGTGTTACTGACTGCGACCATTACTTCTTGCTAGATTACCGGCGGCGTTAACATTATTGTCCATGCTGTCGTCTGTCCACTGCCTGCTGTACCTGCTCTTCCCTACAAGGGGATGAAACAGATCTGGGATTTTGGAATGTTGTTGCTTAAGTCCCAGATGCTTACCAAATTTATCCATTTTTATTCATACTAGAAAAATACGGAAGTTGTTTTTGTTTCTAATAGTGCATCGCACAGCTACGTAAGTCACATTCACGCAGTCAAAAACAATGTTTTCCATGCGTTTCGACTACAGTACATTGTTTTTGCATCCATTTCGTTTTGTTTTGCTTTTGTTTTCAACGCGCTGATAAAGTGACCATGAATATTTTATTCGATGGCGCAGCGTTTAAGTCGAAGTGAAAGCATTTCTCGCGCGCCGTGAGTGCCTTAGACACAAATAAGAAACCCTCCCACATTCACAAACGTGGTGCGATAGTTAGATACATACCTGTCGTCCTTCATCAGGCATCTGCCATGACTGGTGGTGCTTTTACATCTCATATGCTTACTGGCCATTTACCATTGGCTCTGCTAATCTAACAAGCTACTCCAAATCCCACCAAATCTTTATTTGGGGTGTGGATGGACGATATTCACTTGAGGTATGAATGAATGGCTGGCATGTTCACCGACGTTCATTTCGTGACTATATGTTGAGTGTGTTGGACCTTCTATATTTCTGATCCGGTCCATTCCAGCCCACGGATTGATCCACAATTCGCAAATTTATCTAATCCGTGCTCTAGTCTACAAGTGCCTTAGACTGCAGCGTCCCACCCGAGAAGCCTTCCCAGGCTCGGCGCGGCGGCTGGTATAATCGAGCACCGCCACTCTCTGGCGTCGGAAACCGCCAATCGCGGCCACACCGCCGAGCGCCTGGCCAATCGATTCGCTCGTCTCCACCACGCCCTGAACGAGTGCCCTTTCAAAGGCCATTAGCCTGAACGGCGGGAGGCGCGGCGGCACAATGCGCCGCAGAAAGGCGACTTGTCGGGCAGGACGGCCATGGGCGATTACCACACGCTGCTGAGTGCCTCAGCACGCCGCAACTGCTGCCGGGCTAAAGGCGTCTGCGATTGTGTTTCTATTCTGACACGGGTGGGAGGTGGTCCCTCGATGTCTGCGTCCCATGCCCTTTTTGTGGTATTTTTGTTAAACCAAGTGAAGGGACAATGGGGATTTCGTGCATTTTTTCAGTCATGTCAGCGCCTATCCCAGAGCTAAAACCACGCACGCATGTCTTTAGGAGACAACGGCGGCGCCACTCCCTGATCACTGGGAGACAAAATGCATTTAAGGTACATATTTCCAGGATACACCACAAGCAAAGTGCCTACTTGCAATACTAATGCTAAACTCTTTCCTGGTAATCCTCGGCGGTGCAGCTGCCGGAGGGCTACATGGGAGGGTGTTCCGCAAATTTATCAGTTTTAATATACCGTGAATCAAAAGGTAAATATCGTCCATGAATACCAAGTTTACGCGAACAAACACGCTAAATACCATTTACTTTGTCAGCCAAAACGTTACTGACACTCCTCAGTGTAAAAACAAGTAAACCTGACACCACTGAAGCCACAAAGACATCGTTTTTCGATGAAAGCCAACGTCTCCCCATCTATATTTCACTATACCTTATTGGCTACAATACATCATTCAGCCAAAGGCGATAGCAGGCACATGCTCGGACTCTGGTATTTGCGTATCTTTTCATAAGCGAACAATCTATCCTCTTGGTAAAAGCAGACGGCTGGACGGAATTTATCAAACATCTGCCCCCCAAACAGTTCCCGACCAATGTTTTAATCTTATCCCTGGTCCAACCTTAGGGTATGGCATCAGCTGGAACGCTATTTCGTTCGCTATGATTGCTCGCACGATTTTTACGCATTTTGAGCCATGCAGGTACAGATCGAAATTTGACCGCTGAAGCTCAATATTGTATACTAGTGCAATTGAGCCCATGGGCTGGGTACCGCGTCCCCAACTTACCTCAGCATGTAGAAGATCTTCCCCCCTGGATTGAGGCGGATAAGCACGTTGGGCACGGTGACGAACTGGAACTCGCCGTGCTTGGCGTTGGGGAAATACACCTCGGGCTTCCAGATGGCCTTGACCAAGTTCGGGTCGTTGAGGTCGAGCGGGGTAGTGATGTCCTTGTGCCGGAGCCGCGGGTCAGTCCAGTACTGGCGCAGGTACAGGTCCACCTCGTAATCCTGGCAAACGCAACGCACAGGTCTTCGACGGATTTGTCTCAGATACGGCGCGCCGAGCATGAGCTAGGCAAAACAGGGATCGACCTGACTCCCAAGCCGTGATGGACCCTTGGGGCCTTTACGTAGATCACAGCTGCTGCTCGCTGCGGCAGGGGTGTGGTCGATGCAGCAACCAATGCTGAAACGTCAAAAGTAAACGCGCTGACAAGATTGATGATTACAACCACATTTATTCTGAAATAGCCTCGAAGACATTCTTGGTCTTTCGCGAGGCACCAGGGCTGGTTAAGACATCACGTCCCAGAAATTCGACTCTGGAGCCCGTCCACAGATCAGCTAGCTGGTTATGGCCATCTGAAATCGTGATTAATCTGCACAGTCCGAAACATCTTTGGATGCGTCCCCAGAGCTTGGAGGATTTATCATGGTTTTAGTTAACGAATTTCCACCAGGCAGCCATTGGCCATTTAGTACTGCCTCGGCAGAGTGCAGCGGAACAGGATGAACCTATCCGTCCCTAACCTGTCAGGGGATACAAATCGGCGACGACGTGTAGTCCGAAATCGTTGCCTAAGGTGTATCGCTATGACTCTGTACTGCTTTTTTCAACTGTCCAGACTTACCATCGTTGATGGATTGATAGACCCGAAGCTTCGTATGTAGAGCTCCACTGTCACTTCGGTGGGGGTATCTGAAACGGAGGAGGGAACAGCTCGGTCACTTTTGGATCAAACTGCACAGTTTACACTTACCGTCATACGACCGGCGGCTGACCGCATTGAAGGTTTCATTCCTCGCCGGTGGTTACCTTAAGTCGCAGGCGTAGCACGACCCGACGTGACCCCACCCCGGCGGAGAGCTGTTACATTGGTGATGAACGGCCAGAGCACATTTGACAAAAGCCGCGTGATCTCGTGTAACTCTTATCAGTATGGTCTCCTATAAGGGTGATGTCCTTTTATGTTTTTGGGTACGTTCCTAAAGCATTAGCCCGACCCGTACACAGTTCACGACCCGATCACAGTTCTGCTCAATTTATTGCGGCTACGTCGATGTTCTTTTGGCCCTGAAAGCCGCGCGGCCTATGGGACGGCAGGATTTGAATGACGCTGTTGTGGCGTCGTAAATGCTAAATTGGCCTCGAAATATTCCACACGAAAAAGTCCGCACATCTTCGCGAGCGTGTAGCTCAGAAACTAGAGGGATTTAAGTCTTCAGAAGGGCAGGGCTGTAAACTGCATCGAATGTCTTCAAAATAATTATTTCAGTTCACAACCACATACAAATGTGGAGCACTCCTTTAAGCCTGAGTGACAGAGCCGGATCGTATTGCTTACAATGCGCTGCGTTCGTTTTACAGAATGCATCCCCTTTCCAGCATGGCCTCTACAAAACTCGACCGGAGCTCAGTGCAGAGCCCGGTTCGCGGATGCGCCGTGTAGTAAGAGCAAAACCGTCGCTGAAACACATCGTTCAAAACTTTGGCTGGCTTAATGGCTGGAAACTAGGATACATGTTCAACTGGCAAGTTGTGATAGGTGGGGAGAGTTCAGAGCACATTTACACTCATCTGGCCATATTTAGCTCGTCAGAAGCCAAAGCTAAAGCACTCTATTGGCATCATCCGCACACCGCCGTCCTCTTCACCATTGCGGCCCACTCAGCTGCTGAGGCTATAAGGCGTCGCCTGCCCTCACCCTGGCAGGAAGGGCGGACACCGCGGGAGGGCGAACCCCGTGCCTCTGGTTTCCCAGACGTACAGCGGTTAACGCAGACGCGTTAACCACAACACGAACGGCACTCTATCTGCATGCCAGGAATTGCGCGTGCGAGATCTGTGTCGACGCCCCCATTTGCATCACTCAGTGCATATGGAGGAGCTATGGTAACATTTATGTATTACCGGATTGGTACAAAATAGCGTCAGCACAATATACTAAGTCTGCTCACAAATCGGTGAGTAGACACGTTACAGATGTTGGGAAAGTGCATTGTCAAAAGTCTGACAATTATGTTTGCATTGCCATACGCTCTCGCGCGCATTTGACCACTTACTTTGGCAGTCGACCGACTCGCATGCATCTCACGCACACCTCCGAATGGATCCATATATCTGCACGCACGCTACCCCGGACAGTCATCAGTGACGCGAGGGACTTCCGCCGAAATATGAGATGTGGCCCGCCAGCCCGGCTGCGCGAGGGCACACGTTCAGTGCGCGCACGTGCCGCTGCCTGCGTGCCCGCCGGCCCCGGAGCCCGGATCGTGGCCCGTCTCAGCCCGGTCGCCGCGGTACGGTGCGCCCTGCACGGGCGGCCGGAGCGTCCGGGGGCTGCCGGCCTCCGCCGTCGGGATGACTCGGCACAGGCGGCGGCGACGGTGGCGGCCCGGGAGGCGCGGTACGGTGCGCCCTGCACGGGCGGCCGGAGGGTCCGGGGGCTGCCGGCCTCCGCCGTCGGGATGACTCGGCACAGACGGCGGCGGCGGTGGCGGCCCGGGAGGCGCGTCACTGCAGCCGACGCTAATCGACGCCCGGATGTCTTACGGCAGGATCGACCCGGGCCGTGCGCCACGACTGCCACCCGGCGACGGGCAGGTGGCGCGCCGCGCGGACAGGCGCGCCGCGCCGGCCAACGCCGTAGGGTACCATGTGGGGTCATGCCATGCGGCATCCTGAATGACATCGGGGGTACAGGGGGGGGGGGAGGGTCACGTCAGAGCGCCGCCGCTCATGGCTCTCGGTTCGCCTGGGTTGGCATGCGCTAACGTGAGAAGTAGGAAAAACTTGAAGGTTATCGGTGAATCTACGTGTCAGCTGCATTTTTTTATTCTTTTAGAGTATGGCAAGAATTCACAAATGGATGTAAGTACAGCTGCCATTTGGGCCGAGTAAATGCTGCGGTGATGTTTGGAAAACGAGCCTGTAAGTCGATGGCAAATGGCACTTGCAAAAATCGACACAGTCATCAATTAAACTAAGATTATCAGTCTGCCTGCTCGACAGTGGACGCACCAGCTGAGCGTAACTGATTCTCCATTGCTACAGAAGTTGCATTGCTCAAAAAGCCCAACATTGATGTCAAACACCATTTTTTATGCGGCTGGGTGGTTGTTCAATACCAGTTTAGTGGAGTCAATGGATCAGTGATGAATCAACTCCGATTCAATGGCGTTCGTCACGAATCGCACTGCAGAGCAATCAGCAGTGTTCGACTGCATTTGCTCAATTCCTGCACGCTGAATTTGCCACGTCCTGCGTTGTGACACGCTTTGTTCACAGTCCCGACACTAATGACCGAAGCCGGTGCGCGCCAGCATGTATTACGTGTCCCGATGAATGAGCTGTCAAATCGCGATACAAATGCATGGTTCTGCTAAAAAAATTCCAGCGAATTGGGATCAGAGGCTTCAAGCGCAAGGCGCGAACGAACAGAAACGATCTAGAACATAGAGGGCTCCACGACATTAGCGCTACAACGAAAACTCCTGCTGACAGGAGTGCTCCGACATTACCCCTTCCGCCGATACTTGTACACGACATTAGCGCTGCAACGAAAACTCCTTCCGACAGGAGTGCTCCGACATTACCCCTACCGCCGGTACTTATACACGACATTAGCGCTACAACGAAAACTCCTTCCGACAGGAGTGCTCCGGCACTACTCCTACCCCCGATACTTATACACATGAGTGATCCGCGACAGAACGTGTGCTGAAAATCTTCCTCTTGTCATTATGTCCACTACAAACACTTATACAGTCATTACCTGCCCACGATATTCGTTCTATTGTTAAATCTTATATGCGACGTCATACTTTACAAAGTTGTACCCGTCATTACTTCTACTGCAGAAACTTGGACAGCCGTTGCTTATACGCGACGTTGGTGCTACAGAAAAGACCTGCGGTCAAATCTTTGCTGTAAAGTGATGACTGGTATATGTTTTTGCAGCATGAGTTTTGTCGTGTAGCCTTCATGTCATGAATCAGTTTTTGCTGTAACCGCGACGTTATTGAACCATTTTGGCGTGATGCCAACTTGTGTTCTGCACGCTGGTGTCATTCGTGTGTGCTAAACAACGGTATTTACAGAGCCCGTCATCTTCCATATTTCTGCGTGCGATAAAAAGCCATGCTACTGTGGATTTGTCGCAAGACAAAACCTGAATCTGAACTCCGAGTTTGCCGCTGTTCGAATGTCACTTGCAGCGCACCATCCTGGGGTCCCTTTGTTGGCTGGGAATGGTCGGAACCGATGGGGAGACAGAGAAATGCGACTCCTTAATAACCCGTTAGGTTAGTGGCTGCTTCGGCTGCTTTAGTGGGAGGAGTTGCAAAACACTCCTTGAGGAATTCGCAAAAACCTCTCCTCTTCGATTTATCACCTTCGCCCTTCTCAGAGTCTCCCTGAAAATAAGAAAGCTACCACCATGGGGAAAACCACTCCGGGAAACTTTTATCAAATTGTGACACATGGGTGTGATTAAGCAATGATCAACGTGACTTTTAAAAAGTCAGATCGGACAAAATTAGCACTCGGCATATTTGCCCTTTCATCCCAAGAACTAGGTATGGTGCGGCAGTGAGAAAAACGGCGTTGAATAGATCATAGAAAACTCTGAAAAATGCACACAAGTAAGCATCGACAAATGTGACCTGTAACATGACACGTCAACATAATTGTGTGGAGTCTATTGTTGCGCTGACACATCAGGCCCTTTAAAAAAAAGACAAAGCAAGGGAAACAAATGGTGTCAGCAATAACTTCCAAACCACGATACATGCTATCAAGGTGTAAATCGCACGACCACCCCAATCACATATCTGGTAACAAAGCTCGAATTTGACCCAGCCTGATCCCGCAAAACTGCCAGAGCGATGGTA